AATACCTCATCCTTAGGCAGATAGTCAAAGTTTGCCTCCATAGGGTGCTTTTTTTTTTTTTTCTTTTTCTGGGAGGGGAAATAAGAGTCTTTGTGGTTTTATAAATCATCTTTGTTAACCCCAAGTCATTCTCATCAAATTTTTGGAGTGTGGCAGATACTTTTGTGACTCCATTCATTCAGTGATGGCAGGGGACTTACTAGGAAATCACTCACAGAATTTTAAGATTTCTTAGCAATGTCCACACGCTTTTGATGATCCTCCCTCAGGCTTCCCTTCACCTTCTCATGCTCCTCTCCAACTGTCCTGCTGATCCCTACATCCCCCATGATTTCTCTGTTCCATCTCCCTGTCTCTCTGCGTAGGTTGGTGTTCTGCTGAGATGCCTCTCCAGCCCTATCTTGTTGGTCACACTTGTGGCCATTTTTGACTTGTATTAACTCTCAATGCTTGGGAACTGCTTCATGGTCAACACAGACTTTTTTTTTCAGAGAGCACACTTCCATTATAGCACTTCTTCCAATATAAGATAGCTAATTGTTTACATACTAATCCTAACAGCCAACACTTGCTGAGCACATGTAATAGTGTGGGGATACTGTGATATGTTTTACAGGCATCATACCTACTCCTCCCTTTGAACAGGAGATGTGGAAGCTGAGGTAGAGGAATTAAGTGGCTTGGCTATGATTGCGCTGCTTTGAGTGGAGTGCCCATGTGATCCCATGCCTTGCTATTGGTCGCCATTTTGCAAAGCCGTTGGATTCACCACCTCCTGGACCTTAAGCTCCTCATGTCGGCGGCACACAAATTTGACTCCTGTTGGTAAGTCAAGTCCCTGTACCTAATTTCATGGCAAGATGAATACTGAAACAGTAAATGAAACTAATGGATCATTGCAAAACCTTTGGAAACAAAGATCAAACAGTTTCCTCGTGTCCAAAGGTCAAGAGAGCAGATTCTCAAAAAAACGTCAACATAAACTGCTCTAGGTCCAACTTCATATTCTCACCTCCCTTTTACTTTCTTGCATTCGCCTCTTCTCTGTACTTCAATCTAGCAGAGGGGTTGAATTCCACTTCCTCAGAACAACCAGCATAGCTGCCTACATGGCACCAGATCTTCTCACTGCTTTCTCTGTTTTTCATTGAGGCAGACTGTGAAATCTAAACTCCCAACAACAATACTTCCCTGGGACTAATCTGACAAAGACAAAGGGTAAATAAACAACAAAAGATAAAAGCTATGAAGTGCAACCCTAGGGGAGCAGCTGTGTCCCGTAACTAAAGTTGGGTAAAGGGCATGTGAGAATTTCATGGCATGAGAAAACCTTATTAAGGATGTCTCAACCATAAATAGTATTTATTGAGAATTAATGAAAACAAGGAGAAACAGCAAATTATTGACATATATCTATAAAATTCACTAGCAAATGATAGTTTCAGCTTATGTTCTAATAGTATAGTATATAATATTTATGAATGGAAAATTCCTACAAAATGGATATTAATAATCAAAGATTTTTCTTCCTTATTCACACACTCCGCAACCTTCCCTAGTAACATAGAAGTCAACAGTAATTTAGTGCAGTCCTCAACAAAGAGATCTTGTTGAGTGTTTAATAGAAAAAAAAATGATGTTAAACTTGAAAGTGACATTAATGATTCTATAAATGAAGGCATTATCCCCAAATAGAAAATGTTGGCAGAAGGTGAAGTGATAGGTTCCAGATTCTTTACTTTTGTACCTGCCCTTCCACTCAAAAAATTAGAAAATAATACAAAATAATCAATGCCCTTTGTATTCCTATCCGAATCTCATCCACATATTTATCCCAAGTGATAACCACCAACTTGGTGTTTATTATTCCCAGGCACAATGTACCTCAGAAATTAAGGGTCATGGTAGCACTCTGGGGACTAAGGGTCACCATGGCACACAGAGACTCAGGGTTCATTGTGGGAGTACGAACTGAGATACAGGAAGTGAGAAGTAGAACTTTTCCAGAAGAGAAGAAATCCTTGAATTCTGCCACATTTACATTCTATGTCTTGTCATCAGTGAATATGGCCTTAATTTTGGCCATAATTTTGGAAAATTAATTCACCTTGTTTCTGCCTTTACTCCAGAGTTTCTAAATGGGCATGCACTGCTGCTGCCAACTGGAAGTCTTCTGGTAGCCACCAGACTGGGGGGAAAATGAAGAGAAGTAGAAAGTTCTTTAATGGAAAGGGCCGTCCTTTGTTTTGAAATAACATCTTTCCTACATTTTCTTCTGAATGTTAAAATGCTTTTTATTTTTGAAAATGTGATTAATATTAATCAGTAACTAAATTTTAAACATCCAAAGTTGGCAAAATAAAAATAATTAACAACCCCATTTGTGACATTTTTTTTTCAATTTCTAGAAAATAAAAAATCTGGACACCAAAACTTCAGATGACACTAAAAGAAAAATAAGATTAAAAAACATTTATTAAGACAGGAACCACAAAATTCTTGCCAAAGAGCTTCTTTTCCTAAGAAATCAGCAAGGAAGAAAATGTAAGGTCTGGTCTGTTTAAACATTACGCATGGTTTGAAAGGTTTGTAAAATTCATGTGTGCATTTTTGCTAATACAGGATTTAAAAACTTGTATGTGTATAAACCTATGTACATATGCATGTAACTGATAGTGGGACAATAGAATTCAAATTCTGTACCAGAGTAATAACCATAGCAAAAGTCGTTTCCTAAAAATAACTATCTTTCTCATGGGTACACCTATATTCTTGTGGTAATAATATTGACCACAAGAGGGCAGTAAAATTCATGTTATTGCTTGTTGACTAAATTATCAGTTTTATCTCAGACTCAAACCAGTCTGGCCATTTGTTCAAAGTGCAAGAATACATATTAACAATTTTGTCCATGTTTACATATTCATCAGTAATACATTGGGGATTAAAGAGTTAAGATGGAAAAGAAGAGCAGAGCACAGTGTTGCTTTGTGTGGTTTTATATTTTAAAATAGACATGTAATCATTGCACATGTGTGAATTGCATCCTCCTATTTTCAAATGGACACAGCAATTGAATCTACTACTGTCTATTTATTCTTAAACAAAGAATAGCCTGAGTTTAACACTTGGAAAAAGATAAATAATTATAATAATCTCCCTTGTTTACTTCACAGACAATTTATGAAGTTCAAATGAGATGAGTATCTCTGGCCTTTACTTGAACTAGTTGCCAAATTCAAAAAGATCTTCTCTGAACTGTATCACCTCTTGCAAATGTTACCAAGTAACAAAGCACAGGAGCTAACTCTAACTTCAAGAGTCATTAGTAAATGAGTAAATAAAATCCTCGTAGTAACTCCTGAGAGCTAGTCTCTAGAAGAGCTGTGATAGCAATCTTGTTGTGGTGGAATTATGAGGGATCTGAGATTCCACAGATGGTTTACAGACAGGAGAAATAGGGACCTGTGTGGGTGCCCCTGACCTGTGGAAGGAGTGCAGAAGTCAGTCTATAAGCCTCTAGCATTTCCCTCCAGCAGGGTGTGTGCTCTGAAAACAGCCCTTCCACCACCACAGAGCTCTGGAAGAGGAGTCTCTGGAGCCTGACCTCTGGGAACCCAAAGTGGAGCCACTGGAAATACCCCTTTCTTTCCTCAGGGCCTCATCAACATAACCACAATTTGACCCAGTAAATTCCTGGGGCCTGAAGACATCCTGAAGATCCTGAAGCTGTGGCCAATATGGATCTGTGGGCATTGGTGTTTGCTTGGTCTTTCCCCAATTTCAGCTATCCTGGGACTCCAAATCCCAGTAAAGAATTAACATACACACTTTTGCTTCAGGCTCTCTTTCCCAGGGAATCCAAGACAAAACTTTATATATATATATATATCTCCAAGATAAAACTTTATATATATATTGCTAATAATATAGGATTGAACCCAGGGGCACTTAACCACTGAGCCACAGCCCCACCCCACACCCCTTAAATATTCTATTTTAAGTTGTTTAGGGCCTTTGCTAAACTGCTGAGGCTGGCTTTGAACTTGCAATCTGCCTGCCTCAGCTTCCAAAGCCACTGGGATTATAGGTGTATGCCCAGTTAAAATAGTGTTTTGATATTAAAGATCGTGATGACTTCAAGAAGGTGTGCAATTTCAATCCTAGTATTCAGGACTAATGCTCTAAATCATTTCATCTTGAAGTCAGAAATTAACCTGGGAGTTAATAGGTCAGGAATTGTTGCAATTTACATATTGGCCACAAGATGGAGAGCTAGTAACATCTTTCCATGAGTGGGACCGGCTTCCCAGAGCTCAGAATCTTGTTTTTGCTTTCAGTTTAGATCTTTTTCTAGTTGAATCTGTGATTAGCACTGGAGCTGCATAAATTTCCCAAAAGAACAGAAACAGTTGGCCTGTAAGCAGTTGACAGAGTGTGAAAGAGTCAGTTGACCAATGTCTTAACTGCCCTGGAAGTTGACTTTCAAATGACTTCTTCTTGAACTTGATAACATGTATCACTGAGGTGATATGCATATCATACAAAACCAGTCATTTCAATGTGAACAATTTAGTGACAAATAGTACATTCACAGTATTTCTAGTTCCAAGCCATTTCCATTATTCTAAACTAAAACCTATGAGGGGTCAAGAACTTTTTTCCCATTCCTCCTTCCCCACTATACCCTGGCAATCAACCAAGATGCATTGGTCACAATGGATTTATCCATTCTGGATATTTCAGCTAAAAGGAGTCATAAAATATGTAACTTTTTTTGTGTCTGGATTCTTTCATTTATGCTATAGTTTAGATCTAGAATGTCTCCCCAAGGCCCATGTGATAAAGGCTTAGTCCCATCTTGGTAGCATTGGGAGGTGTTGGAAGCTTTAAGAGGCAGGGCTTAGTGGGAAGCCTTTTGGTCATTGGTTGCATCCCTCAAGGGGAATATGGGGCCCCAGTCCCTCTTCTTCCTCTCTTTCACTTCCCGGCCAGGAGGTAAAAAATTTTGCTCATCCATGTACTTCCCACCATGATGTGCTGGCTCACCACAGGCCCCAAAGCAACAGGGCCAACCACGCATGACCTGGAACCTCCAAACCTGTGAGCCAAAACAAAACTTTGACTTTATAAGCTCATCTACTGTTCCCAGTTAACACATAAGGTAAGGTTGGTCTTGTTGGTGGGTTTTCTTTCACCCCTGAAAGACCTCCCTTAGGGAGGCCACAGGAAGTGGCTGGTCAAGGGTCACATTCTGAACTAGAGAGGACCAGGTTTAAACTCTGACTCTACCACTTATGCCCTGTGTGACCCTTGGTAAGTCGCTGAAGTTTTCTGAGCCTTGGCTTTCTTATCCATAAGTGAAGATAATCTCAGGTCTACTAATGGGCCTAATGAGAAGCTAAAGGGCTAATGTTTGTAAAGTCTATAGCATGTCTACATTATTATTTTGTCTTTTCCAGTTTCAAAGCCTTCATCCTTTATTGGACTCATCCAGCAAGTTTCTTTTCTGTCTGAGGGATCCCTGGAATGATCACATGGAGTGCAGAGCTGGTGAGTTCACATGAAGCAGGAAGAGCAATGCCAAGCACCAGAGAAAGGAAACACACTTTCCTGACTGTCCATGATGATTGTCATGATATCTTCAGTGGCTCCAGGGTACAGACTTTCCCAAACCAAATCAACATCATTTTACAAATGAGAAAAGAATTCAAAACTAAGAGTAGAAGTGACTATTTTCTATCAAGAATAATTTATCAAATACTTATTGACCACTTATTTTGTATGAGATAGATGGGGAACATAATTTCATTGTATACAAAATGTAAAAGCATGATCCCTGCTCTAAATATGTTTGGGATATAATAAAGAAAAAAAGGCAAGCTCAGGCAGAGCCGAGGCCAAGGATTTTGTTTCCAAGCTTTGTGTCTCTAAGTTTTTGATTGTTAGTACACCCCCTTCCAATGAATCTAGACCCAAAATTTCGATAGCAGTCTTTTTAGGTCAACAAAGAGTAGAGTTCCTGAGTGAATGATATGATTTCTAAATTCTGTACTGTTTTAAACTTGCCCTTTTAAACCTGAATGACAGGCAATGACTCACGGTGGCTTTACTGTTCACTGTCTGGCCCAAGTTAGAAACCTCAGAGTCATCGTTACTTTTTTCCTGTCTTTCATCACCCACATCCAGTCAATAATTTCATCACAACAATTCCTAATATAAAACCACACAGTCAATTTCATTGTAGCAGTCGAATGTCTCCTGACTTCATCCCTTGGGTTCCATCCCATTGTCCCAATCTAGACCCTTTGTTTCTCTGGCCTGCAGTGTATGATCCATGCCCCACTCAATCCTTCTGCACATCACAAGTCACATCACATCTTCCTAAGATCTCATGTTCAGGGGATCTCATCTGGAGAGAAGGCGGCGGCTGAGGTGGGACCCCAGGAATACCAACAGTATGGTTTGGGAAATTGTTCAGAAAAGTGGAAGGTAACACAGGAAAGCAACTAGAAATGTGCTACTTTATAAGGGGGAAAACCTCCTAGGTTGGTGAAGCAAAAGTCAACATTTCAGCATTTCATGGGCTTCTAGGAGTTTAAAGAAAGCCAGTAGTTATTTACATACCATATTTTTGGCTAGGAGTACTTTCATTTGGATCTGTTGTTTTTCTGCTACAACTTTCACTTTGGGGAAAATCAAACACGATCATAAAATGTTTATTAAAAGGTCTGAGAAATGTATTTCATGATTTCTTTTAACACTAATGAAGTCTGTCTTTAGGATGAGATAGCCTTCTATACCATGATTTCTGGGCTTCATGTCCTAAAGAGGCTCATTTGTACCTTTGTAAGAAATGTACCTTTGCACCAGAATCGAAGAGTTTGTGGTAAAGTTTATGATCAATAATAAAACTGAATAGAAATGTCACAGATCTCCTTCAGGACCAGTTGAAGGGCATGCAAGGGGTTTGAATCTCACCCAAAACATTTAAGTGAAGTTTGGCTTTGTCGAGTTGTGGTTTGATTATTATTTTGTCTTTTCCAATTTCAAAGCCCAAAAAGCACATGTTGGAAAGATAACCAGCAATATAAAGATAACCAGGATTGGGAGATGGGGCCCACAAGAGAGGTGTTCAGGTCACGAGGGCTCTGTCCTAACAAACAGGTTAATGCTGATTATAAAAGGGTTGAGGTGCCATATTGGATCACTCCCAAATGCTCTTTCACCGTGTGATGCCTCCTTACATGGGATGATGCAGCAAGTCGGCCCTTGCCAGATGCTGCCCCCTTGACTTTGGATTTCCCAGCTTCCAGGACTATAAGAAATAAGCCTCTGTCCTGTATACATTGTGCAGTCTCAGGAATTCTGTTCTATCAGCACAAAACAGACCAAAACAGTCCTTTCAGGCTTCTAGCTTCCCTGAGTTGTACAGTCAATTGCAGGAGACACAACTGATACCGTTCAGAAGCCCTGTAAACACAGCTGCCATTTTAGAACTGTAAGAGACTTAAAGCACCATCTAGCCCAGGCACACGGTTTTGGGTGAGAAAGCAAAGTTGGAAAAGGAAGTGCTTGTCCAAGGCCATCCAAGTCAGGTTTTCAAAACCCTCCACCAGCCACTGGAGGCAGCCTTGGGGGCTTGGCCAGTGTGCGTGGAAGCAGCTGCAGAAAAGAGCTGTCCTGGTGCCAAATTCTTATCTTCTAGTGTCCTTGAGATTGGGTGGGCTGACTGCCAGGGGGAAACTCAGAGTCTGTGAATTCTAATCCTGGACTTGCTAGTAAACAGTTCTGGTCATAGTGTCTTATATTTCCCTCCCTTTGTCTCAGGCTCTCTCTGTCTAGCAAACAAGGGGTAATTTCTCTAAGTGATGGAGCAGACAGAGGTTCTGGGGTGCATCCTGAAGGAGTTGAAAAGCAGCAGAGCTCCTATGAGTACATCTGAATCTGTGCATCTTGTTGGTGTTATTTTTAACCCTGATTTGTTACTGTAGCCTTATAATTAAGCTGTACCTCTTTCTATTCAGCTCTCCTGACCACACAGATTTATTTTAACAGTCTATTCTCTCATCCCCAGTATGAACAAGATGTGTTGTTTGCCATATAAATCAATATTTAAAGATTTTTTGAAACTCAGAAAAGGTCAACCTCTTTGGAGGAGAACTGAAATACAATCGCAGTTGAAAATCTTGATGTCTTAGATTCAAGGAAAAATGAGGGATGTTCTCAGTACTTGCTCAAAGCGTGCCAAGGGATGCACAGGTAATCCCTAAGGTAGTGATGATGATGATATGGCCATAATAATAGACTAACATTTGCTGAGCACCTACTATGTGCAGGCACCATGGTAATGGTTTTATATTTGCTATTGCATTTAATATTCTAATAACCCCATGGTAGGTTCCATTATATCATCATCCTACAAATGAGAAAATCAAGCCTGAGTGAATTTGAGTCACCTATGAAGTCCATGCTCATAACCACCACTGGACACTTAACCCAGTCATTGGATTGGAAATGGAAGCTGCTCATCATTTACAGTTCTTTCTGGTACGCACTCCTGCTCCCTTGCCTTGCCCCCACTCACAAGTCAGGGCTCTGAGAAGTCTTGCAGGGTTCTCCAAAGCCTGGTTTTGTGCCTTTCCTTCCAGAGTGCTACTTCCTTTCACAGCGCTCGGCACACTGTGCTTCAATTTTTGGTCAATTTTCTCCTCTTTCTCCCTTAGGACTCTTTGAGATGAGGCAACCATCTCATTCATTTTGGTCTATCCATAATGGTCCTGACTCATAGCTGATGATCAAAATGCTATCTATTTATTTTTGGATAAATGGTTGATGTGAAAATTTACTAACAATCTGTTTGGGCTACTGATTGCTGAGTAAGAGATTTAGCCAAATTTAGTTGCTTAAATTAATAACTATATCATCATGATGGCCTCGTGGGACAGGTCGCCTCTTTATCTGTACTTGGTGGCTTCTTCAGCCTCCACTAGAAGACTCCACAGTGGGTTAGAGCGAGAACCACTGGGATCAAGTGTCTAGGCCTCAGTCCTTGCTGTTAGCTGAGCCCCTCAGTTTTCTTGTGTGAAATCTCTGGGCTCCTGTCTCCTGTGAATTCTGCATGTGGTCTCCCCAGGAACATGAACAGGCTTCTAATGTGGAAGTTCAGGGTCTCAAATCAGTAAAACCAGAAGCAGTGAGTCTGCCAGGCTCAGAACTAGCAGAGTCACTCTTGCCACCAGGACCAGCCCTACATAAAAGGACTGAAACTGGAGGCCTAGTTCATTGGCGATCATCTTTGGTAACCAAATGGCCCATAGTTTAGTAGGACCACCTCCATCCCACTCCAAGACTCCAAAAAAAAAAAAAAAAATGTTAGCCAGAGGAAAACTATCTCATAGAAGGTGAGTAGCTTTTCTTATTCCATCACCACAATATGAGGGGAAATCTATGATTAGGGCACATAAATGTTGGGGTTCCCAGAGGGTTTGGAGCATGTAAATAACCAGTGGATTCCTAAGATGTTCTTTTAGGAGGCTATGATTTGGCCTCTGTCTTAGCCAAACACCTCTGGCTATGCCCAGATCTGGTGTGTGTTATAACTATGGTCTTTCCCTTCCCTTACAGCTCTCTGCCCTTCTCTGTAGTTTCCCAATTTTGTCCTCCTAGGCTCCCCAGGCTTTAGCTGTCACCCTTAGAGCATTGCCATTTGTGATTTAAATGTCCCTTAATTAGATTTAGCCTGAGGAGTCCTTGATATTTTTGCACATTTCTCTTTCCTGATTGTTGCATAGTTACCTTATGGATCATCAGAATCCCTTGGACCTCATGTCCCTGAACTTGTTATCTTGCGGCATCCTTTCTTTGAATATGAAGAGGCTTGATTCCAAGGCATGCAAGAATTTTCTGGAGTTTTATAAAATCATTTTTATATTTTTATTTTTTATTGCCATTTGTTTCTTTTTGTTTATTCTGTACTCCAATGTCACGTCAAGGCATTCAGTCACTTCACTGATGGTCAACTACTTGGCAGAACTACAGAGAAAAGGGGTTTCATTATCCAGGCTCAGACGCACACGCCTGTAATCCCACCCCTTAGGGGGACTGAGGCAGGAAGATGGGGAGTTCAAAGCCAGCCTCAGCAAAAGCGAGGCCCTAAGCAAAGCAGTGAGACCCTGTCTCTAAATAAAATACAAAATAGGGCTGGGGATGTGGCTCAGTGGTCAAGTGCCCCTGACTTCAATCCCTGCCCCACCCCCCAAAAAAAAGGTTTCATCGAAGATCAGTGGAAATGATTTCTGTGTTTTCTTATATACATGTATTAAGACAATAGACTGTTATGATTCTTACATAGCCTTCAGAAAACATTCATATATGGGCAAAAGGAATGGGATTTACAATTCAGAGTTTGGGGTATCACTTTCCCTTTCATTTGAAAGCCAGGTCCTGTCATGAGGCTACAAAGGCTCAAAATTCAAGAACCTAAATAGAAGGCAGGAGAGGTGGGTGTCAGGTGTAAGAAATGGTATAGAAATCCTTCTAAGTACAGCATCTGAAACCAGCACAGGCTTTGGCCCTGTGGACTTTCCTGGCCTGACCATAGAGCTATTGCATGGAAACGGTCTGTTCCTACCCAAGAACTCCAGAATTCTCTACCAGACTTTATGATGAAATGTTTGCTGCCATATCCAACCTAGGTGTGATCTGAGGGCTCCTATCCTCCTGAGATCACCACAAAACCAAGAAAACACAGATTCTTATCCATGAAAAGGCTTCAGGAATTATCTAAGTGATTCTCAAACTCTCTTGGTCTTTGATCTCTTTAGACTTTTAAAAACCAATAAACACTCAAAAAGCTTTTGTTTATGTAGCTGGCTTGTATCTTTTGATATGCACTGAATTAGAAATTAAAACCAAGC